TTATATGTTTCAAGTGATATCATACATCGTGGCGTCCTGCAAGTTACTGTGCGGGGGCGAACAGAATGAAGAATGGTGTGGCTGGTTGCAAAAGACAGCTGGATATACGAACAACATGATTCGTGTGTGTACACCTCAGATCATCTGCACCTGTTTCGTGTATAGCGTCAAATGAGCGTCCATGTTCCGCAGCGCTGTGCAAACGTGGTATCGCCCGTGCGCACTGTAATTTTGCTTCTTCGTTCCTTGTAATTCTTTACGGGCGTTGGGGAATACTTATAACGGTTGTTTCGTTACAATGTCTCCACATATTGCCGTGTCAGCCTGTCTTGTGTGACAGCCGCTCAGGACGTGGTCGCCTATCGCTTGTCTGTATATAAGTGGTTATATCAGAAGAAAAGAAAAGAAAGGTGCCGACCCGTAACTGTCTCTCCTTACGAGGACACCTCAACAGGTCAGCAGAGGAATGGGATATGGGGAATAAAAGATATAGGGAGAAGGAAGGAGGGATAAAAAGAATAGAAGGAAAATAGACGGAGAAGAAGCCGCCAGCCAACGAGAGGAAAAAAGAAGGAGATAGGAAAGTGGGGATCCGGTCGAAGCAGTCCAAGGGCGGGGTGCCACAATGCGAGAGCTGCACGGCATCAGGAGACCGCGGAGGGCGAACCAGTCGGCGGGAGCTACGCTGAAGTCGGAGATTGCGAGGGCACAACCGTCCAGCTTGAAATCCTCCGAGCGAAATCATCGCTTGTCTGTACAGATCGCTTGAACAAGAAAAGGTCGCTATATGAGTCGCCTTTATGTCCTGTGTCGTACTGTGTCGTTGCACGAAGCTTCGGAAACGCGCTTGTCCAAAGGTGGCCTGGACTGTGGTTGCGCCCCGCTCTGTATTAATCGCATAATCTAACAGAAGCTTTTATGTATTCCCGGTGCTTTACTGGGTGACACGAGCGAATGATCTAGGCGAAGTATATTCGTCCAATGACCGACCGCTTTTAAATGCAGTCTTCGAAAAATGAAACATTAGCGGTCGGCGATGACTTTCTTTCGGGCGGGTGAGCGCGGCACGGGTTGCTGTCCCGTTCGCTTTCCCCCGCCTTGGCGTCCTCTCTTTGTGGTTTTGAAGCGGCGCGATTGACGCATGGGCCGCGGCAGCATGCACAGCGTCGTCGGAAGGGTCTCGACGGGTTGTGCATGGCCCGCTTGACGGCGGCCTTGTCGTGCTTCCTCTGCCGCCGCGTGCCTAATGAGGCCCGACGACGACATGCCGGCTTCCCCCTTCTTCGACTGCTCAGCTGATCCGATTGTGCGGGGGGACCCCGATGCCGCCGCGGGGCCATCCATCAGGGCTCATTTTGAATACGCCGAGAGACCCCTTTCGCTCGCGCGTGCCGACATCTCTCGCCGCCTTAGTGGTGCATGTGTGTGTGTGTGTGTGTGTGTGTGCGTGCGTGCGTGCCTCGGTACGGTAGACCCTTCTACAAGGCTTTTTTTTTATTCGTACCACGCCGCCTCGCGACATTATCGACACTTTTTGTGTGCGTGCTTGCACGTTTATGTGCATCTGTGGATGTTTGTGTGTGCGTGCATTTGTATATGTGTGTGTGACTTGCCGGGTGCTCGAACCGGCTGCCGCGCGGCAATAGTCGCCCGTGTATTTTTGCGCCTGTGCAGCTGCGTTGTCCTTCGTCAATATCGATGCGCTTTGGCATAGATGATACTTCTGTCCTATCTTACTTACTTTGGCCATGTGTATCTGGTGTGCACCGTGGCTCCACCTTTGTACGAAATCGTAGGAACAGCGAAATCGTCCTGCTGTGCCAGTCGTCTACTTATTACACAGTTTTCCGGAAAAAAGAAAAGTATACACTTACCCTCCATTTCTGATTTTGCCTCGTGGCTCCCTCTTTTGAACGACCACCGCTTGCCAATGCTTGTTTAACTATAGCAGTGTCTTCTCATCTGTGCTCGACGGCAAGCATTCAATGGGTTTTCCGAAGCATTTCCCAAGTCTTGTTCATCAAAACGCAATGTCTTGCCTCTCTTTTCGAACCATTTTTTTAGTTCGGTGCTTCATCTTCTTGTATTTCTCACTCTGCGGCAGTGATGCTTTTATTCTGGCGCTGCGTAGCCGTCCGCACGACTTCCTGACCCCCCGAACGTTCGAGAGTGGTTCATCGGTGAGCATCCAAATCGCTTCTCCGACCCGCTCTATTACCGGCGAAGCTGGCCGTGCTCTTCTCTGTCGCGTGGGTGGCCCCGCGGCGGTAAACGTCTGACCAGGACGGCCCTCCTCGAAGAAGACACCATCACCGCAACGGGCGGCGGAAGAGAGACGTCGTCCGGTCGCAGCATTTGCGTCTTTACTGCTTTACTGTTTTCTTGTGTATATACGTACTACATGTATACGTTTGCACTCCTCGCTTTCTTGTGTAGGCCCGTGCATAGAACGCCGCGCAGCGCTGCACATTGTTATGTGCAGAACAGCCGGAGCGTCATTGCTGACGTATTTCTTAATACGGTGGTAGTGTACCAGTGTAGTTGCGAATTCATTGCCTGATCAATGAAAAAAAAAGGTAACAGTACTGATGTCCGCTACTTTCAGAGGCAGTGTTTAGCCTGAAGGCGTGGCCGGTGATTGCTCCGCCTGAGCGACCTTTTACATGCAGTGAATCTCACTATTCATCTCCTAAACCTGTCTGCCGCAGAAATTGTAAAAGAAAAGCTGTTCCTTGCTAATCATCCCCACGTTTTCTGGAAACACAATCTATTCTCAGCATGTGTGGGTAAACCCCTATTTTCTTCATATTGTCGATTAGTATGTTTTCAGAGCAAAAACGCATAGAACACCAGGTTTAGAGTATCCCCAGCTTCATTACACTGGGTACGATTGGGAAGGAATGCTCGTTACGTCAAAGAACATTGCAGAAGCGTAGGCCGATCGCGTTCCTACTCTACACAGTATGGTTGACTGGATGCGACTAAGTCCGCTTGTGACACCGCTTTGATGTATCGCACTCCAGAAAGAGCGAAAATGGCATCGAATTGTCCATCTTGGTGGTTTCTGATTCACTGGAAGCTATACACCTATATATCACCAATGACAGAGAGCGCAGTTCCGTCTTATCAATACAGTGATAACGGTAACATCAACATCGATACAGAAGCGTTGCTTAACTGCTTAGCGACCTGTCCCGCCGGAAGTGACGCCGGCGCCAACAACTGCCGCAGAAACAACCTGCAGCCGTAGCAGCGTAGGGCAGAAAAAACAACAACAACAAATGATCTGCCTTGGATGCTCGGAGATGTGACAAGGTCTATTCACATAGGTCGTGAAATTTCGAAAGATAAGTGTTTCAAAAGCTTTTGCCAGCCACATCATCATGGGGAATTATGCGTACTGCGATCTACATACATGCAGCGAACTACCAACATATCGCTCGCATCTCGCTTTACGTGGGGCCTTCCCCTACCTCAGAGTGTGTTCGTACACGCCGCATCGTCTTACTAGTGATGTCCTGCCTGGCGCCGTGATTTCCTGTCTCGTGGCGGGTAGGAGGCCCTTTCGCGTGGACGCGAAGGTAGCAGGGCGGCCTAATGGAGACAGCCGCGACCGGAAAGAACCGCCACAAGGAGGCGTGGCGCTAGAGATACATATGTGTTGCTCGCAGAATGGGTTTACGCGAAGGGGCTGGTTTGAACGCTAATCTGTGGCTTCGAAGGGTGCTTCGGAAACTGGGCGCGGCGGCATCATAGGTTGAGCGAGCAGTACTGGTAAGTGCACCTCCCCCTTTCGATTAGCTTTCGTTATTATATCGGCGGATTTTTTTTTTTTCACACAAACGTCGGTCGTCGAAGCGAGCTGTCCCTACAGCTAAATGGATGCCGCGCTCCGAAGCTGACGAAAATGTTGTGGGTTTAATGTCCGACCGTGAAGACTTCATGTTCATCTGCATTTCATGATTCAGCTTTGGGTCCCTCAGCTTATAGTCTTTCTGTCTCTCATCACTATACCGGTATACAACATGACGAATCTTACGTTACTCGCATGTTTCATTTTGTAATGACAGAAACGCTATCTCGAAAATTCGTCATTCATCTCGGAAAGACAGGCCGTAACTCGAAGATCATTACAATGACACATTTACCCCAGTTCGGCGATATTACGCCTCTGTTACCGGAGCCTGTACCCGACGGACGCATGGAAAGCGTAAGGGGACAGAGCTATGCTACAACGCATGCTTCGGGAAGGTGCCGGCATAGTTAATACCGTTGCCGTCTCTCACTTTGCGACGCACTTTAGCATGTTAGAGACAAGCTCCGTGCTCAAGCGTCGCCGCTGCTACAGTGCCGGTGCCAGGCCCGAAGCGGGCGCCGACGTGGCTGTGGTCGCGGCTGCGGATCGTCTCCGTCGCGGCCGCTGGGAGGTGGCACTCACCAGAGATGAGCCGGCCGACCTGCTTTGGGCCGTCCAGAAAAACGAGGTGCTGCCTGACTCTAAGGACCTCGAGCCGCCACCTGAGGCACCGCCATCAGTATTGGACGAGTGTCGGACGGGACAGGGGTTTATCCTCTTTTCCCCTCGCCTCGCCTGAAGAAAAAGTGCCGAATCCGTCTAAAATATACTTTCTTCATTCAGTAATTGTGGGACGTCCTGGCGTACTAAATTTACCTTTTTTGTATTTTCTGCCGAAACCTCACCGTGGGTGAATCATGAACTTTAAGTATGCAGTGCTTGCGGTGTCTACACTCGTAATTTTATCACCATGTCGTTGTACAATACATAACTCAAGGTCGGAGCATTGACGTGACGGGACATACATTAAAGTACTTTGGCAAACCGCCACAGTGTCTCTCCATTAGAGATTTTGGAAACGGGCTCATTTAGGCTTCCAGCTCCTTTCCAATACACTTCCCTCCTCCGCGAGTCTTGTGCTGTTCTGAAGGCAAGATGGATGTATCGATGGGCTAACCACAGTGTTGTCTGCTTTGCTCATCAGCTCATGCAGGTGTGGAGCAACTATCGGCAGGGCCACACGGGCCAGCTGTCCCTGATCACGTCAGCGTTGCTGTTTCTGGGTGGCGTGGCACGAATCTTCACTTCGCTCACCGAAACCGGTGATCCGCTCATCGTGGTCACCTTCTGTCTCGCCACCATCGCCAACTCGCTCATCTTTGGACAGGTGAGGGATCTTACCCTCGCTTTCATGTTTATGAATCTCTGCTCAGAGATATGCGTGGTATTGGCACTTTTCTTTCTTTCGAAGTGTTTCTTCATTACCTGAAACAACCTCTGCAAGAGTGAGAATCAAGCTTCATTTAAGAAAGCTATTCCAGATACTTAAGAACATGCTCTATAAAGCTACTGCAAGTGACTTTTCTTTTTACCTTTGAATATGTCACCACAGTGCCTCTTCTGTTTGTGCTCGCTTAGGCAGAGGAATGTCTCTAGGCAGTTCAGTGTGATGTTCTTTCTGCTCTCTTTTCATTCAGTTTGAACGAAATGAAAAGGCTGAGAAAATAAAGGGCAAACTTATCAGTTCTAAACTTTATGCCGAAAATCTGAGCAAAATTTGACGGCATCGCGATGTTATGGAGTTCAGTGCACCTTGTACTCCAGCCATTAAGGTGGAGAAAATATTCCTGAAACATTTCAAGTTCAGCCTCTGATTTATGTTGGTCCTTCATTACCGACTAGCTAGAATGGCTCCTGCAATGCCAGAGCAAGCTGGTTTGTCTTTTCAATGTTTTGTGATTTGCCACTCTCACAATGAGCATGGCTATATACCTTTCAGATGAGGCATATGTACTCTCCAAATTCTTTTGTCTGCGATAGCTGCTTTCTGATCTTTGCTCAATCCGTTTTGTGCAGGTCTTGTATTACTGGGATGCCACTAACAAGCAAGTTCAAAAGAAGAAGACCAAGTAGCCTTTCAATAATGAAGCGGGGCACATTGTGCGGGAAGCTTTGGGAACCTGGACGGTGAAACGAGGACATAAGGGAAGAAATCCCCCTTCAGAAGAGTGGTCATCCTTTTTCCCATTCATTGTCTCGTGGCTGTGGTCCGGGCAGGTGCAGCTGACAGCTGTTGTTCCTTGACACCAGGCTGCGTGCCTCTGAATATACCACAGTGTAGGATAGATTGTCCCCTGGCAAGACATGCTTATGCCACCTGTGGTAAATCTATACCAGCAGCTGTGTAGAGGAATGAAGTGACCAGTTTTTTGGGGAACTACTTTGAGATGACGTCTCGTTTCACTGCTTTATTAACTGTGGGGTTTTTTTACTTGAACATTGTATGTGTCTTGTCTTGTTGGACTTGTTTTTTTTGTTTAAGCCTTGCCAAGTGCCCAATGACTGCTTCAGAAGCTTTATTCTGTGAAGGAGTTGCTAGCTGCTCTTATTTTTCTTAACAGACTCTTTTTCATGCTCCCTTTTTTTTTTCAGCATTTGTTGTGATTTTCTTTTCAGCTCTGTGCCAAAGCCACAGTTCTAGGTCAAGCACGAGCCAGTCTAGAGTATGCAAAAGTTGTTTCACTGTAGCCCCTTCTGGCACGGAACATGCAAAATATGTGGATAACATTTGTCATGCAATAGAAGTCTGTGGGCTGCAGCAGAATTCACTGTATGAAATGCTAACTAGATGTAATAATGACACTTGCGCTGTTTCGGTTTTAACAGACGTGCCTTAGGCACACCTGTTTGCATTTCGTTGCGTAGGGCTATCTGCAACATGTGTTGACGTCAGTCTATGCTATTGCACTACTGTATGTTCTCCACTGTTGCGTCAGATTAATTTTCGGCAATATGCATTATCTTGTTTTTTATTCATGTTGTGCCAGCATATGCGATGTGAAGCGTTCGTAATGATATGCTGCTTGACTTTCTATGATGTTCATAAAAGCTGACACTTAGTTTATCAAAATATAACAGTTGTCAGCTGCAATAATAGCATACGTGAGGAGTACCAGAATGCAGTTTACAAATTCAGAGTATAAACAATGCCAAAGCAAGGTAAGGCATCATCACTTCTAGCAAAAGCTTGCAAACTGTATGTACAGCCATTGGCATTCACTACATGGAAGTCATGAAGAGAATAAAGTCCTATAATGTAGCACTGTAGTGAAATTCTCATGCGGTACTTTCAAACGTGTTGGCGAAAAGCAAGCAATTCAGCTTGCTCTATCAGACAAATATAATAGATTCATTATTGAATAACGCCCATTTTCTATAGCATAAAGTACAAATGAAATATACGTCCGGGATCTTTGCCCAAGGAGTGTTGCAGTTTTCAAGGTGTACATTATCCTGCCTGTGTCACTTTCAAGTGCACTCTTGGCAATACATTTTGCAAGATGGTGATTTTTTTAGGAAGGTTGCATGTACATGTAGGTGTTTTGAGAAGAAAAATGCAGTGGAGTGACATCAAAGGGACCGACAACTGACCATATAGTGTCTTGAGGTTCTGGTGCTATTAGGGAGAATGTCGAACTCTGACAATGATAAACTCGATATTATTGGTAAACATAGAATTTACATCGGCACTCAATGTTTCCCAAGAGGAGATCATGTTGTTACACTCGAACATTGCTTATAAGTACGCATTCACCTTCCCTGAATCATGCATCAGCTGTTTTCAGATACAGTTCTTGTAGATAAAAAGATCGTTCATGTTCATATAGCTCTTGGCACCCAGATGTGTTATTGCAAAAAACTGATTGCTTGTGTAAAGAATGGCGCTTCTCAGCTCATGTAAACATGATGGCATCATTAGGCATCTATTAACATGACAACTTGTATGAACGATTGCTGTACTTGTGTGAACCACTGTCAAAACTCAGTGCAAATATATTATATGTTGCCAATAATGCTTTGTGCTGTGATGTCATTTCGGCACTGAAGTTGCATTGCGTCATAAATATCCGAAGATGTTCCGCAAAAATTGCCCGTGTTTCCTGGCAATATTTTCTTGTGGTACACAGTGTTGTTCGCCATTAGTAATGATCGTCGATGATGTCTTGACCGTAGCTGTGGCATTGCACGTACGCGTCCGCTTCAGCTACGGGAGGTTCGGGGTTCGATCCCCAGTGCTGGCCGGCCACCCACCGGTTTATAAACACGGGACAGACGAGCTTCTGGGCGGTGACGTGAAGCCACGGGGTGAAGCTTGCTCTCAAGAATATTGGGGTTGGAAAATTTCGTGACGTTTTCTTGATTGCTTGCAGTGGTTATAGTCCTATTGCGCGGCAAGCTTTTTAATGCCCTACAAAGAGAGACATCCTCGCAAACTGCTTTCGGGTTACACAAAGGGACCTTGAGCCACAGCACGATGAGAAGGCACATTCCTTAGATAAAAGAAGGTTCTGTTAAGGCATCAGCACAGTTTGGTAGTCATTTGTGAAGCGCGGAATCGATAAGGTTAGCACGAAGTGGACGTCTTCTTGAAACAACCTTTTTTTCGAACAGAGGCCTGTTCCCTGCTGTTATTGCGCAGATTCCCGAAAGAGCAATGTGCCAATAGCACATTGCTTACGTGAGGTAGGGATAACGTTTGGATTAAAGCATTTCACCGTGTCCTTAACGGGTAATGGATGTACAAATTGACTCATACAGTGAAAAGGTTATAGTGGTGAAAAAAACTTCCAGTTTTTTATAATCGTGTAGGCCCACCTCGGTGGCCCGTAGTTGCGGTGCTCTGCTGTGGACCCGAGAGACATGTATTCGATCCCAATGAAAGTCAATGGAAGTGAAATGCTGGAAGCTCGTGCGATTGCAGGACTGCTTAACGCACCCCAGCTGCTGGAGATTGTCGAGAGCCCTCCACTGCGGCGTCTCTCATATCTCGAGTTGCCTTGGTTCGGAGAGTAATTACTATGAACCAACCATCCAACCGCAGTAGCTGCACACTTCGAAATTGAACTATTCTCATTTGCTCACGCTTGGTCTAGCTTGTTTGAGTAAAGTGAAACATCTTTACTTCTTGAAAATGGCTTCTCTTCTCCTTTGATATGTTGGGTTTAACGTCCCAAAATCACCAAATGATTATGAGAGACGCCGTAGTGAAAGGCTGTGGAAATTTCGACCACCCGTTCTTTAACGTGCACATGGGCCTGCAGCGCTTTCGCATCCATCGGAAATGCAGCCGCCGCAGCCGGGGGGGATTCGATCCCGTGACCTACGCGTCAGCAGCCGAGTACTTTAGCCACTAGACCACCGTGGCGGGGCTGCTCTTCTCCTTTGGATTGGAGGACGTTTAAGGCAGATCGGAAAGACAGACTCGCAATATCGCAGTTCGTACTATATATAGCTGGAAAAGTAGAGGAGGAAATGAAATAAGAATAGCATATGCTTCTGCGTCACTACTAGGGCACTGCACACGCCATGGGCGTCTGAAGAAAAATGGGCTGTGCAACCAGTAACGAGATTGGAAATTGTGTAGTAAACAACCGAGGGCTGCCTGAATGAAGGAGGCTGGTGTCGTAGTACTTATTCCTACTTGCGTGTTTCTCTTGTGAGTTTTCTGTCTTCTCTCTCTTGTGTTTGTGGGCTCTATGCAACTTTTTTTGTTTAATATTTTTATTGTGTTAGAAATCGTCTTATGAATTTCTTTGAGCTTGCTTGACTCAAATGATGATGGTGTGTGTGCAGAGATATCTTTCAAGGGGGCAGAATTCAGTTTTTGAACAACCAAGATGTTTCCGTGGATCAGGATGAAATGAGGTTGTTAACGTTTTGATGGGGTCCTGCTCGCGCTTCGTGCAAGAGCCGAAGTCTTAGCCCCGACATTGAACGGAGCCGAATTGTCACGTCTTCGCTCATGCGATGTTCTCGAGCTTGCACCGACGCTAGACTAGCCTGCAGTGGCGTAAACGTACGCCTCCGTCTGCAGATGCGATGGGAGCGATACAGCTGCAGCCATTCCAGCAGCCACCGCCGAGCTATGTGCTTACAAAAAGATTGCTGGCAGTAGTCGGGTTTTATCGGCCCAAGCGGTATGACTAAAACATATCCGTTTGTAGACTCGATTGTTTGCAGTAACCAAGGTGTTATGTTCACGTTGCATGACAATCGTCGCGTCCTTGAGAAAACGCCATCTGCGCTGGCTCTCTTCTGATGGGGCCTCAGTTTTTGTAAATGCATTGTGCCATCCGGCTTTCTTCGGATAAAAAAAATGGTACCTGGTAGTGTTGAACTTGTGTAGGTACTGGTCACTGCTGCTTTTGGGGTAGAAAGAAAAAAAAATTTGAGAGTTTCCGAAACACGCACTTGTGCTTCGACTTTACGAGCATTGTGAGTGTACGGTTACCCTCTAATGGAGCTCAACAACGACTTGTTGGACGATCTCACCCAGCGGCGGTCTTCAAGGACGCAAACATTATAAACGGGCCGGAACCACGCCCATTTAATGCCATCAGGGCTTCGCACAGCGATCGCGGCACGTGGTGTCCTGTTACTCTAACGAGCACCGAACATTGGGGAAGATGGCTCTGCGTCATGCAGTACACATGTAGGATATGACGGAAATGCAGCTGATTATACGATGTGTTCGAAGAAATATTGTGCTTCCTGTGTTTTTTTTTTATAAGATAGTTGTACATGGCGATGGCGTGGCGGCAAAAAGCGTGCGCGTTTTGCACAGTCAGCACTTTCGGTGAGCAGACGTGGAACAGATATAGCGTAATGTTACAGGTTTATGTACACGCTCTTACGCGCAGCATGAAATGTTTGAGAATAATAAAAATAATGAATACAAAGCCATACACAGGAGATTAATATTATTAATATGTGGGGTGTTACATACCAAATGCTATACCGTCCGGATTTTTTTCTTTTTTTCGGGGGAGGCACTCGTCTGGAAAACGGCTAACTTTGCTATAGCTGGTTGCCTATGCGAAGACGAGTAAATGCCTCGTATTACACGAAAAGTTTGTGTACGAAAAAAATATTTGTTGCGTGTCCGAACCCCCTTAACTTCACCCTATAGTTACGGCCCTGATCGAATGCGATCGTGAATGTTAGCTGTTTACTCGCACGGCAGATGATAAAAGCAGACACGTGTTACACTGGCGAAGTCATCGGTGTTTGGTGGCGGTCGCTACAGGTGGACACGCTTTGGTAAGTAGCGTGACAACGAGAGAGGGAAGCTGCTTCGACGGTGGTATGACCAGGCATGCGGCGTTGTGATAGTGCAATATCGACAGTGCGCTGCGACGACGGCGGGACATTGACGGCACTGCGTGAATAGCGCGGGGGCGAATATATTCTGTTCTTGACATGACAAAAGCATGAACCATGGGTACGTTAAACTTGTGTGGAATGAGGGCTAAACTGATATGGCGCTCAAAGACAAAACAAAGAACAAAACAATGCTTGTATAGTCGGTTTTTTTTTATTTCTTCCCCCTGCGTTCCCCCCCCCTCTTTTATTATCCGCGATTAACGCTACGCGTAGTTCACCAGAGAACCGTTGGTATAATCGGCGCTTGTGTTCTCAAGAGCGCACATGTACCGGGTAGGCCAAAGTCTGCTACGTATATAATAATAATAAAAGAAATGTCAGCCAGTCATAGAGACGTCCGATGAGTTAGTGTGTTTATTCATTTATTTTTTATTTCTTTTCACTAGTACCCACAGTGCCCGGTAGCACTTCTGAGTGAAGCGAAGCTTTTCTAATTCATCTTAGCCATCAATGCCATCCACAGAGAACAACAAGGTAATTTCGTGCGTGTATCTCGCACCGCGGCACATTGTCTTGTGATGAGCCTGTTCCCGATTGTATGAAATGTGGAGGATTGATCGAGGGCTTGTTTTGTTAGACACACCCTATACCGAAACCAACCGAGCGACGCAAACAAAAAAAATTATAGGGGACATTTTCTGTGTGTTTTAATTGTATACTGTGTAATTGTTATTGTAATTGTAAATGTGAGAAATGAAAGTGAAGTGGATTCGAAAGCAACCGCCGCTATGACAGCTCAATCGGTAGGGCATGGGATGCGTTATCCGAATGTTGTATAGTTTGGTGCCTACCCACGGCAAGCTGTTTTTCTTTTATTCACTTTAATTCTTGTTCATTAATGTCATACTTACTATGCTACAGTTAAAACATACAAGTAATGTTCCCTATGCAATGCCTTATGGTCATTGTCTGTGATTTCAATAGGTTGCCCAATCGAGTAATTTCTTGCGTTATCAAGTGTGCCACAGGCTTTGACCTAAAGGTTTATAGCTAGTGTTACGATTTTAACATATTTGATCGTTAATGCAGAAAAGGAATTACACTTTATTTGGTAGACAAGACTGTTCGCGCCAGGAATGGGGCGGCCACTTGTCAGCATAACCATGTTCATCAGTAGCAGTTAGTGCTCGGGATTTTGGTTCGTCAGCTGTGTCTCCCACTGCGAGGTCCCTTCCTGGACATTGGACATATGTCGTCTGTGAATTCTCGTTACATTCGCAGACCATTAGAGTGTGTTAGGCAACTTGCAAAATTTGCAGTCTCTTCCGTATGTTACAGGATACATCTTTTGTAGCAGAGTGCCGTGGATGTAACATACCCACTTAAAGTCGATGCAGCATAAAGGATGCCATGAAACTACCGTGACATTCAACAGTATTGTAAAGACAAAGATTATTTATGTGGTATTTATGCGGTATAGGCTAACTGCTGATGTTCTCGTGTTACACAACCACAAAATACTTGCAGTTTCTCTTCTGGGTGTTCTATTTTACCTTCTCTTTTTTTCTTATATAGTATTTGAGTAGAAACTAAAAGTAGATCTGCCCGATTTCTCAGCAGTGCCACAATATGAGCATGCGTCATCTGTAGGATCATCGTCAACGTTGTCGTCATCGACATCCACCGCTGC